TGGTGTGTGGCGGGCGGAAGGCGGGGAGGAGGGAGTTGTAGATGTCGGGGAGGAAAGCGGAGTGGAGAGAGGGAGGGTTGTGTGTAATAATTCTTCCGCGCGTGTAATATGGTTACGGCATTGCTTTGCGGCTTAGCAGGTAACCGGTCATTCGCTGCGACGTACGACAGAGCGTAACGAGCAATTGGCCGTAACGAACGAATTTTTCGATGTTCATGTCACGGACCATATTCTGAGTGCTGTGCGCGAAGAAGAGCACGATTTCTTTCTCTTTTTTTTCGGGTAATATATCGTTTTTACCGAAGGCGTGTTAGCGAGCGTCAGCATAATTAGGTGCTATCTACATTACACGTCGCGTCTGTAAACGGTTTGACGTTGATTAAATCGACGCCCACCAATCAGAACGCCCTCCTACATAAGACAATGCTTGCTAGAGTGGTGGCAAACTTTCAGAGCGAGAGGCCGCATCAGTGGAGCCATGAAAAGTCAAAGGGCGCACCTTTAAAATTCGGGCGGCTCGCTCTAAGATTAATACGTGCGTTTCACCTCAAAGGCCGCCATTTCTTTGCGATTATAATTAGCTGAAATGGCGTTGCTCAGAGCGACCAGAGACATAGAACACTAATCTGGGATGACACTGAAAAACTCAGGGTTGCTCGCCGTTTAGCACAACAATGTTGACTTTTTCAAATTTATTGCATTTTTTATTTTTATATTTTTTTCTAATTTTGCTTGACCAAGGGTATCTGCGGGACGCAGCAACCGTGAGAGGGCGCATGCGGCCGCGGGCCGCCAGTTTGCCATCTCTGGCAGCAGACTAGACGCGAAAGGATCCGCTCAAGCCGAAAGGATTTGAAACGTTGAGGTAATACCGTCTGACCTGGACCTCCCATTCACCAAGCATGAAATGGGGTTTTACTGTTAATTGCATAAAAACATGTTAAAACATCGATAGGCGTGAGCCGTGATAAAGGACGCCTTTCTCTTTAATGCGTCAAGGCCTCGACCTATTGTATAAGGCTTAATAATGGGGCTTATGCTTTGATCTTTTTTTTAATTTTCGCGGTCTTTCAGTGTGCTGGTTTACATTAAGTTTTTAAATTAAGATGGATAAACAGCGACTTCCTCGCGACAGTTCACATCGTTAATTCATGCTCGTCACTGACCAGCATCAGGCGTTAGTTATCTTGTTGATGCGGCATGATTTAATGATCGCATGGAGGTGCGTTTAGGGAGCTTTCGTGATGTGATTTTGATTGATTAATGATGATGAGCGTTAACGGGCAGTTATGATTCGATGATCGATTCATGGATTGCAAGCAGTTCTTGCTAGGCAGGCTTCGTAGGATGCGTTGTTTTTGATAGTTTGTGATTCGATGAGTGTTAACGTTGTTATTGATTTGATTATCGATTAATGGACTGTAGCAGGTGCGTTATAAGGAATGCTTCGTGTAATGCACGCCTCTATGCAACCGTGCCAGATATTATGTCGCTAGAGATCCGAGTCCGCTATGCAGCTCATGGTCTACATTGCATCACGATGTTAGTGAAGATGTATTGCAATCACGCCGCGTATTACTAGTCATCTCGGTGACGGGCGACAGCTTATTGTACAGATTATATGAAGATTATTGACTGATTATTGACTGAGTATGATGATTATTGATCTGATATGACTTGATTATTGAAGGTTATTGTACAGATGCTACTCTGTACGATTAATTGCTACAGATTTGATTGTACAGATTATTGACGATTATGACTTATTATGACGATTTATTTGACTGATTATTGACCGATTATTGAAAGCATTATGACTGATCATTGAGATTATTGTACAGCGCGAGTCTAACGGTATAAGAGCAGGCTCATGTCTATTATCTATCTATTTATTATCTATCTATCTACTACTATTATGTATCTATATATAGATCCTATCTATCATAACCTGCTCTCAATTATCTATCTATCTATTCTAGCTATCTAACATCCGTATATCTACTCTATCTCAAATCTAATCTATCTATACGAATCTATCTATTCTATACTATGTAGTTATATATACTATCTATGTCATTTATACTATTATTATCTATCTTATATCTATCTATCTATCGTCTATCTATTATCTATCTATCTATCTATCTATCTATCTATCTATCTATCGATTCTAATAAAAATTTCACCGCTCATTGGCGGTGGACGACGGAGCCAACCGTATGCTACTCTTATGTATCTAGTGCTGGCGTCTGGGGCGGTGCTTGCGGTCGCGCGTTCGTGCGTCTGTGCGGTGTAGGGTAGCGTATAGTGATATAGGTAGGTAGGTGAGGTATGATAATGGTAGTGTATATGCTTCGGCGGTGATGTGATATGATGTAGTTCGCGGCGGTGGGCGGACGCAGTGTGGAAGGTATGTGTGACGGGGCCGCGCGGTGCCGGTGGTGGAGGCGGGTAGTGGGAGTGTGTGGTGGTGGGTGCGGCGGGTGTGGTGGTGTGTGTGGTGGTGGAGTGTGGTGTGTGGTGTGTGTGTGTGGTGTGGTGTGGTGTGTGGTGGTGTGGTGTGGTGTGATGTGTGTGTGTGGATGTGAGAGGAATGCAAGTAGCGGCGCGAGGGCGGGTGGGATGTCGATGCGCGATGCAGGCTTGCATAATCTCAATCACTATTGAGTAAATTGCAAGAAAACATTGCAGGGGGCCATGGCTACTATACATACACGCATATCGGAACGTGCTCACACGCGCACGTGCGCACGTACACGCACGCACGCACACTCCAATATGAACGCCAGCACGCACACAGCGCGCACACGTATATACGCACTGACACGCATACACACTCACATGCGCGCACACGTACACACACACGGATACGTTGGAACGCACTGACACGCACGTACGCACTCACGCACGCACGCACGCACGCACGCACACACGCGCACGTAGACGAGGACACATGCAAGGGCAACGCATATACCTGCAAGCTAGGATGAATCATACATTATTAAGGAGACATAGCTCACAGTGATTGTGGTGATACAACGTAATGCAATCTACCGCCACTGACAACAGCGAGGCAAATAAACGCTTCATTATAGGAGACCGGTAGTAGTAAATCACGTGTAGCGGCAATAGAAGTAGCAACAGCAGCCCAGACGCGAGCAGCGCCAGGAGTGCCAGCAGCAGCAGCATGGAGCAGCAGCAGCAGCAGCAGCAGCAGTAGCCCAGCAGCGCAGGAGCGCAGCAGCAGCAGAGCAGCAGAAGCAGCAAGAGAACAGACAGCAGGCAGCAGCAGCAGCAGCAGCAGCAGCAGAAGCAGCGATAGCAGCAGCAGCAGCAGCAGCACCAGCCAGCAGAAGCAGCAGAAGCAGCAGCAGCACAGAGGCCAGCAGCAGGAGAGGCCGCCCAGCAGTAGCAACAGCCAGCAGAGCAGAGCAGCAGAAGCAGAAGCAGCCCAGCAATGAAGCGCAGCAGCAGCAGAACAGTAGTAGTAGTAGTAGTAGTAGTAGTAGTAGTAGTAGTAGTAGCAGTAGCAGCAGCAGTAGCAGCAGCAGCAACAGCAGCAGTAGTAGTATAGTAACAGGAGCGTATAATACCAGACAGCCACCTATACGTATTGAAGGCTATATATATACTCACCATGACGTTACCGACCGTACCCAGTAGCATTATGATGGCGAGAATCACCATCTCAATCCACACGAGACCTGAAACAAGCACGAAACAACTAAATAGGTAACCCATCACACATTATTGCTGCAATATATATGTTATATATATATATATATACATATATACATTCCGACCTCCTTTATCCGGCCACGTCGGGACCGGCACCCATCCGGATATGGGATTTGGCCGGATATCATATATATGATATATATATATACATCCTATATGTCACATTCGATGAATTTCAGGCATATGCGCGTGCGTGTGTACGTGCGTGCGTGGGTGCGTGCGTGCGCGCGTGTGCGCGTGTACGTTTGCGTGTGCGTTTGCGTGTGCGTGTGCGAGCTTTCGTGCGACATTTCTTATTTAAGATGGCGATATTCGATTCCGTGACGATTGACAAATTCCACGCCAAGATTCTGTAAGCACTTCCGCGCCTTGATAGGATTTCAGCTCTCGAAGCTTCGACCGTCTAATTTCGGTTTTGCAAGACGTGAATTGCAGGCTAATTAGGTTTGCACTCAATTAAATAATAACTGTACGTAATTCTTTCTAATTTATGCTCTCGGAGAATATAATGCAGCCTGGAGCTTCCCGTACGAAATCACCAATTATAGTTTCTCAAATAAGCCTGCCTGCGACGTTTGTAGTTATAGTTATATAATTACACACAATTATAACGAACAATATCTTTCTCTACGACGCACTGCTTTCCTTGAAATTGGCTTCGCTTTCTGTTCCCAGATAGTCCGCCATTAAAAAAACAGATTGGGCGCAGACGGCTTTAAGAGATTTCATGCGCACGCTCTCTGACGCTGCAAGCATACACGCGGATCGCAATAACGGGCATCTGATGACGGCAGTGAGAGAGTGATGAGTCATGACGGCCATCACTGACGTCGCCAGCGCAGCATCCCTGAGGAGCGCGACAGTTAATGGCTTCACGGCGGCGTAGATTTAATCTATCGACGCCGGCGTCACTAATTGTGTTCCGGATTCATCGCCCGGCACGTAAAAACTCCGCGAGAGTGCACTTAAAACGTTGACCAACTCTGAGGCAATTTTTCCATGTGTTAACCAACTCTGACGTCATACTCTACCCGTGTTAACCAACTCTGACGTCATACTCTACCCGTGTTAACCAACTCTGACGTCATACTCTACCCG